AATATTTGATCATAACATTTTCTTTTATTGTTTTAGTAACCATGGCATGTTACTGTAGTAACTTTCACTAAAAACCAAATCGAACTAAAATTTTATTTCATTGAGTACCATTACAATCGAACAAACTTTTTCTATAGCCCAACTGAATCGAACTATAGTTTTATTCAGTGTGGTAGGGTTAAGGCTCCCTTCTTAGGGTTAAATTCATCTTAATTTGATAGATTTTTTTATATAAAAAAATGTTTTGCGTACATTTGTGACGGTTAAGCCTCACCTATTAATGTTTAGGACCATTTAAGTAAGACGAAATATATGGTTAACTCATGATTCGTCAGTTTTTTTTTGTTTTAAATACTTTTGTTTTGGTTACCTCATCATTTTAACATTGCGGTTTCTTATATGTTATTTTGGTCTCACGGGTATGTCCTCAAAGAGAAAATATAAGTCAATCATCACACCGTATAAAACAAAAAACGTACCTCGGATAAGACTGGGTCGTGATGGGTAATGGTTGGGATGAAAAGGCGGGTAAGGATTGGGGTGGGACAGGTAAGGGTTGGGACAAAACGCGGGTAAAAACTGGGACGGGACATGTAAGGGTTGGGATGGAATGCAGGTAAGGGCAAGGACGAGACAGGACGCGGGTACGAGACAAGGCACATGTTGGGATACCGACCGTGTTCTTTATTTGAAATATGTAGTTGATTTTTGTGATGAATGTAAATGATAAACTTATAATTTTAGAAACACGCAGCCATGCTAACTATTCTTTCGCCTTTTACTAAACAATATCGTGTGCTCTCCTCTAAAAATATTTCAAATTTCTGATCTGGTAGCTAATATTTAAAGATTTGCTAAAAATACCACAAATTATATGAAATTTTATTTAAAAAAAATAAAATCTTGTATATCAGATTTCGTTTGAATTAATAAGGGATTTCTGCAAATAAACCTTCCAAGTGGTTAGAGTTTGCAATTTTATCCTCTAGGTCAATTAAATGCAGGTTTTGTTTCGTTAGATGTTGTTCGTTTGCTAAATTTTTTATTTGTATCCAGAAGTTGAGTTTGGATGTCAAATGTTTTAAATCTGAAAAATCTAAAATTTTGGATGCTGGAAAACAATGCGTCTAGATGCAGATGTTGCATCTCAATTTGTTAAAAGACTGAAATATCCCTCATTATAATTAAAAGAAATACACTTTTAAACCCTACAATTTTAGATATGATACATTTCTTCTCTCTGGCCGTCGCTAAAGTTGGGAGGTTTCATTACCAATCCGGAGATAGTAGTGGTGGAGGAGGTGCACATTATCCGGTGCCAAATCCGGGGTTGTTTTCACCGCAGACCAATGGTGGTATGGCGGTGAAAGGAAACGTTCCGGTGGCTGGTGGGAAGAGAGGGAATGGTCAAGCTGACAGAAACGGAAGAGATGTTCATATGTTTGGTTGAAGCTCAAGTGCTTCACCGGTCTTTGACGTCTTTGGAGGAGGATAAGGAAACCACCACGCCGATTACGCTGGAGTTGGGAGGTTTCATTTCCGAAATACCCCTCATTATATATTTTTTTATTAGATTATTTTCATTAAAATAGAAATTTTCAAAATTATCTAAATTGATTTTATGTTATTTGTAAAAAAATATATTATTTACGAAAATTTAAAATTTTGTTTGTAAAATTTAAAGTACCTAAAAGAAAGATAATTTATTAATCATTTGATTGTAAGTATAATTTGGTTC